AAGGACAGGTTTAGGAGAAACTCACAGCTGCCAAGGTTACACAAGAGGAGAAACCCATTTCCTGGGTCCTTCCACCTACATCAGGCTGTGGCCAGACGGCAGGGCAAGACTGTCCCTAGGATTACACACCCCATTTCCTGTTTACCACAGGCCTATTGCTTGCATTGGTCACCAAGCTATGGGCTCAAGGCAGAATAGCACAGAAACTGGAGCGACCTCAGACTTGGGATATAGGATCACTTCATTGACAGCTTTTCTTTATTCTTTCTGCACTTCTGGGTGTTCGAAGGAGGCAAAAGCATGACAGTGGACTAAGCCCCAATAACATTCATAATTCGGGGAGTGCCAAGACTTCAGTGTACACCTATGACTGAACAATGTGGGTTCTCTATGGCTCTGCCATCTTCTTTCTGTGCATGGACAATTTTTATCCCCCTTTTTCTGTCATTGATTCACACTTCAGAGGTGCTGGGAGGCCAGTACATAATTCCCAGTATGTCCCTGCTCACACCGAAACCTTTTCTAGGCCCAAAAATCGTTATCTTAGTGTTTCCTGCAGAGGAACCTTGAGGTGTTATTTGCACCCCTGGTCTTTGGTGATAGTGACCAAAGAATGGAAGAAACGGCTTCTTCCAAAGTTCCAAAGAGTAGCCAATCTCCTAACAACTGACCCATTTGATTGGCACAGTGGAGGTCTGCACTGTTGTAGATACTAGCTTTTTGTTGTTGTTTTACTTTGTTTTCTTTGTTTAGTTTTGCCTAACAAACTCTATAAAATGATGACACACTGGAGAAGGGAGAGTGCTGGCTGAGCTTCCCTGCTTCCTCTTTAGCTGGCTTAGCCTTGATCCTCAGCGCGTTTTAACTGTAACTGTTGTAACTGGGTTTGAAACCCAGTTATAGTCCAGTTTCCTGTGTCATAAGCTGAAGTGTCTGAGGTAGTCTTGAACAGACCTGACACATGACTCAGTTTCTCTGTTCCTCTCCTGCTTTCTCCTGGTTAAGACAGAAGATAGGAAAGTTGGTTCCCAGCAGGTATGTCATTCCCATGAGATTCAAAGCCACAGTTTGAGTCACAAAGGAAGGGCTGCTGGGATCTCCTAGCAAATATCTGCTAATTGCAGTGAGGAGAGCTCCCCCAAGGGCTAAGTGTCAAGGTCCTACCCTAAGCATAGAAGTAACAGGGATCCTGAGACCTTGGCCGGGAACACTGATCCCTGTGCTGTAGAGGAGGAGGAGATCCTAGCTGCAGATCTCTGGTCTATGACCCTGAGGCCTTCATTACCAGCCAGGTTCTGCTCAGCCTTTGCTGTCTGACACTGGATGGCTCTCATGATGTTTCCTTGCCTCAGTCTTCCACCTATAAAAAGTGTAACCCCCCCCCCCTTCATTGATGGGCGATTTTCACAAATGTTGTTGAATCTTCATAGAATCTTTCAGGTAAAGGAGCCCTTATCCACCTAAGGATCCCTCCAACTGGCCACACTTCCTACTGCACACAGGCCTCCACTTAGATACTGTCATGATTTCAATGTGAAATGATCTGCAAATGCTCATTTGTTAGAACTCCTTGTCCCAGATCGGTGGTGCTGTTTTAGAAGACCGGAATGTTTAGAAGGTAGAGCCTGGCTGGAGGAAGTGGATCACTGGGAATGAGCCTTGAGTTTTATAGCCTGTCCCTTTCTCCTGCCCACACTCTGATTCCTTATTGTGAATGTAAAGTGATGAACTGGCCTCCTGCTCCTGCCCACAGTGCTTTCCTTGCCACAATAGACTGTTTCCCCTGGAACTGCAAGCCAGAATACCTCTTCCTTATATTGTTTCTAGGCAGATATCTTGTTGCAGCCATAAGCACACTAAAACAAGTGTCTGCAGGTCTCCTAGGCAGACATTCCACAGTTCTGACATTGACCACATCTTGGTCTCTCAAGTGTAGCTTAAGCTTCACTTTCACAGCCTCCCGCACAGTTCACCTATAAACCCATTCCTTTACTTTACTAAAATTCATATTTTCATGTATTTGTGCTTTGATTTTTGTTCTGGAATTTCACCATACAGCTGGCAATAAGAAGTAGATCACAAACATGTCAGCCTGAGTGGTGTTCTGTCTTGAAGTTTTCTCTGAGAAATAAGTTAGCTCACTACTTTAAAAATTGGACTCATTCAGATTCTTGGCACATGGGCCAAGCACACTCAGATTCTTTTCCTAAAGCAGCATGAATGGCTTCTAGATCATTTCTCCATTGGTTTGTTCTTGTCCTCTCTGAAGCTCCACCACCTCAGGTTTTCCTGTCTGTCTTTGTGTAAGCATTTGGATTTTCACAACTCCAATCAGCACTGCACATTAAATTATTCTTGAAATTCTGTGACACTTCTCAAGACCACAGGTCCAGACCCTTCTATCTCTCATAAATCATTTCCAAAGGCCTACAGACATGGCCAAACTTCCCAAAGCAATGGACCTCATCTCTGGTATTAATTATCAGCACTAAGTGTTTTCTTGTCACTGTGATCAAATACGTAACAGAAAGAACTTAATGCAGGAAGGGTTTTCTTTGGCTCAGATTCAGGAGATATAATTCTGTCATGGTGGGGAAAACAGGGCATCTGTAGTGGCACCAGCTTGTAACATGTCTGGGTCACATCTTGACAAATCAGGTAGCAGCAAGTGGACCACAGAGGCATACAGGTGCCCCAAAACCCTAACCTGATAGGTTATCCAGTCTCAATGGTCTCACAGTTTCCAACACAGTGTTACCAGGAGGAGGGCTCGGTGTTCAAATGTGAGTTCATGGAGGGCATTGTAGACTCAAATCATAAGAATACTGACAGGATACCAAGGGCTAGACCAACAGTTACTATCCCTGAGTTTGTAGGTTTAACCAGATAGAGGCTTCCTAGAGGAAGTGGATTGTCCACAAATTCTGCCCCAAGAGAACTTCCTCATCACTTTCAAAGCCCACAGGGGAAGTAGTAGAATCTACTTGAGAAAGATACACACCTCAACACTAATTAACCAGTGAAGAGTATAAGAGTCCTTTAATTTTTTATTTTGGCTGGTGACTAGGAGTGAGCTCTTGCCTGGGGTCTCCTGGTGCTGAAACTCGGGGTAGCATTTTAAAGGCAAGGCCACAATTGCATAAATGGGGTTCAATTTAATCCTGGCTCTGGCCCTCGCTCACTACATGATCTGGATGAATCACTTTGCCTCTGCGAACCTGAGTTTCTTCTTCATGGTATCAGGATATGGTGAGGTACTAAGAAGACATCTTTAGTTGCAGCCTTCCTGACTAGGTGGAATCAGGAACCATTGGGTGTTACCAAGATCCCTGATATCCCCAGGGAGACTAAGATTCTTATGTATTACTCTGGAGGTGATATCCAGGAATTTAGTAACAATGGAAAGGCCAAGTGAGGCTGGAGAGCACAAGGGTTTCAGATGCCCCTAAGGAAGAGACAGGGAGGAAAGGACATGTCCCCTGAGCCTGTCTGTCTGTGCTCCTGAGTTTCATTGGACAGGTGGTCCTCATTCTACACCAGTCCTCAGGACCATTGAGGAGCCTGGCAAAGCTATGAGTAAGGTTGTGACCCCGGGTGACCCAGTTCCATTGACTGGCTAGCACACAGCAGGTGCCAATACACACTTGTGCATGTGTGGCTGGTGGTTGGGGTCCTTCCAAAGTCCCAGAGTGGCTGTGTGACCACTCTCTCCATGCTTCCACAACTCTATTCATAAAAGAAAGCTGTAAGGTATTCCCCGATGGACCTCCCATCTCTGGATCTGCTTCATCCACTAAGCTGTAAACTCACCCCACACATACCCCACACCCTGCCAACAAGTTCTATTGCAAAGATGAAAGCAAACCACACACCAGAGTGCAGTTAAGATTTTAATGCTGGGGTGGTGATAGCATATACGGAGACCACTGAGGGAAGAAGAGAGTCTGAGAGGCTCCCTCAGGTGGCTCAAGCAGACCTTGTGTGGATGATGGTTGCAATTTCTAGAGAGAAATGCCACAGGGAGTCAGATGAAGCCACTGGGGACTAACCTGGAATGAGAACACAGGGCATTAGAACATTGGCTGTCACAGAAGTAGTGGAAGCTGGCTTTCACTAGACATGAAGTAGATCCACAGAAGCCTGGCCTAACTAGATCCACTCATTACTGAAGTGCTTGCATTGATTAAAACCACTGAAAGGAGAGAGAAAGCTGTAGATTTGTGGTTTTGTTCTCCCACCTAGCCCTGACCCCTTTTCATCCCTTCCTCTGGAGCAATGGCAGATGGGAAAAGACTGAGTAGAAGCCATGTCAACAAAGCCAGAGTCCAGATGCAGGCCAAGGACATGTGCCTATGTTCAAAGTAAGGGCTCAGTCAAAACTACCCAGTAAATTCATTTAATAACAAAGACCCTAGCTCAGTCTGGGTTCATGATGCCGACTCTGAGTTCAGGGTGTACTCAAAATCAGAGTTCAGCCTGGAGTCAGGATCAGGTCTCAGCTTCTCTGGTCTTGTGGCAGAATCACAAGCCTGGCCCTGGCTGCATTGACCAGCTGGTGTGCACAGGGTGCAGACTCTACCTGTGGAGTTTGAAAGAGAACTGCCACCATAGGCTCATGTGTTTGAATACTTGGTCCCCAGTTAGAGAAACTGTTGAGGGAGTTTAGGAGATTTGGCCTTGTTGGAGCAGCTGTGGCACTAGGGATGAGTATTAAGATTTCAAAAGGCCATGTCTTTCCTAGTTACTCACTCTACCTGGTGACTGTGTCTCAGTGCATGAGCTCTCAGTTACTGCTCCAGTGCAAGGCCTGCCTACCTGCTGCCATGCTCCTCACCATGATGGTCATGGGTTCTAACCCTCTTGAGTTGGGACTCCCAAAATAAATGCTTTCTTTTATAATTTCCCTTGGTCATGTTGTTTTCTAACAGCAGTAGAAAAGGAACTAGAACACTGCCCATACCAGCAGGAGTCCTGGCCTTCCTCCTTCAGCTCCTTCCTCTTCAAAGGGGGAGTGGTAAGTTTCCTTTTAGTAGATTAGCTGAAGGAAGCAAGTCATGAATAAAACCTCAGTATTTGCCCTGGGAAATTGAACCAAGGCCCATCCAACTCATTACCTCCCTCCTGCTCATCACTCTATCACTTCTGTGACCTCAAGTACATCTCTTTGCACATGAAGATGGGCAATGGCAGTGCCTTGCTGTAAAGAATCTCTTGAGGACCCAATGAGGTAGTGCACGCAAGACACAGGACTGTGTAAAGAGGCCTAATCACAGAAGGATCACCTCCAGGGCCTGACACCCTGGATGCCTGATTCCTGTTGCCCCAGCAACCCTGTCAATCATGAGGCACTAAAGCCTCAAGAGAGGCCCCAATAAGGGTTAGAGAAGTTAAAGGCCCGACTTGGTCAGGATGCAAGGTCCCTGTGGAGGGCACTCCCATAGCTGTAGCCTTAGCCCATGGAAGGCACTCCAGTCCCAAGCTGTGACTTACAGAGGAGGTCTTGAATAAGATTTATGTTCAGGCCACTGAGGAGCCCCTGGATCAGTGGACATATCTACAAGCCAGGAAGAAGGTGGGAAAGTAGGAGGGGGAGGGAAAAGGAAGAGAGATTAGACTTTGCTAGCAACATACTGCTCACCCACCCCCATCAGAGGGCCTTATTCCCAGGATCTGGGAAAGTTAATTTTAGCAATCTGGAACTGTGGAATTGCAGCAGCCTCTATCAGAGCTGTCCCGGGCTGCTAAGAACCCACCACCTCGGGATGTCAGAAGTTCAGCATCTGAACATCTAGCTTTCAGAACCTTAACACTGGAGACTCCCGAACCTTGAACTCTTGAACCCTAGAAATTCAAGCTTCTTCAAATTTGGGGAGCATAATTCACAGTTCCCTGCAGCTTCTCATTCACATGTTCTTAAACAGTCATTTAAATGAGAGATTGTGTTGATTACAAGGAAAAAGCTTAAAGGGCACAGGTGGAGCATGGATGTGGTAAACAGCTCAACGCAGCATCTGAGATTCCTTTCTCCTCTCTCTGCAGCCTAGCTACTGAGAAGGAGGTGCCCACAGACCTCCCAAAGAGAAATCTGCACCTCAGGAGACAGTTTCCTGAGGACACAGCCACACCTACAGATACCTCTCCTGCCCCCACCAGGCCTGGCTCTAGGTGCCAAGAGCTGGGGACTTACTTGGTTTTGCAGAAGGCTTGTCACTGTCTTTGTAAGGAGGCTAGATACATCATCCAGTAACTTGTTGACAAGGATGTTTCGTCTGGAAAAGAATGGACTTGCAAAGCTTGGTCAAGAATTCAGCATGGCTGAGAGTCCTCAGAAGGTCAGGTGACACAAAACTCTGCTTTATGATCTCATTTTTGTTGCCCAGTGGCCCATATCAGGATGGACCATCACTGAGCATCTGAGCATCTCATGCCTAAGTAGCTGCTTTCTCTGTGTCTGGGTACTCATCACAGCCCTAACACAGCACCATCCACTCAGCCTCTTCTTACACAGCACAAGGACAAGCCTTGGGCCGCTGGGCAATAACCTCCTTCATAAACAAGTGTCACTGAGGTTGTGTCCTCTCCCCTTCATCTCTCATCCATCTGTTATCTCCTGAGGTTCCCATCCTGAGTGTTCACTGAAGGGAGGGTTTCCTCTCTTTGTGCCCTGCTAAGTGTGATGGTCTGTGTCCCCATTTTCCTTAAACTCACTGATGGACCAAATAGTCCTCTACCTGCCTTTTCCTCAGGAGATGTTGCAGGAGACATAAAGCCTATTTATTTTTACTAAATCCTTCTCCAGAGCTCATAACAATGCCTTCCTGGAAAATAGATTTTTGTCTAGAAGAATGAGTGAAGTGGGGGCAATGAGATACCCTAGTCCACAAAATATTTGCCTTGTAGGCATGATGACCCAAGTTTCATTTCCAGTACCTATATTAAAAAAGAAAGAAGGAAAAGCCAGGTGAGAGCAAACACTTGGAATCCAGAGCAGTGAAGACAGAGATGGGAGAGTTCTCAGCCACCTTAGACTACTTGGTGATCTCCAGCCATGACACATGCACATGTGTGCCCACACACAAACCCCCATCCCCCAACACACAAAATAAAAACCAGATCATCCTCCTGCCTCAGCCTTGGAAATGAACAGTCTATAGACTCAGTGTGGATCTCATGGCTCTTGGCACTTAGCATGTTTCAGGCTCTAAACTGGACGTGTGTATTTCCTCATGTCTTCATCCTAGAAGCTGTTGAGTACAGATCTCTACTGTTCCAATGCACAGATGTGCAAACTGAGGCCTCAAACAATGAAGCTGCAGAGTGCAGTACTGTTAGCTGTGACACAGTTGATATTTGAGGCTAGTCTGACTGTGTGTTCTATGATGCTGCTTCCAGGTTTAGGAACAGGATTAAAGTCAGAAGTCCTGAAGCCTCTCTCAGAGCCCAGCTCTGCTGGGTTAGATGAGTCTTACCTGCCCAATAAGGAAATGGAGATTTTGTCTGCATCACTGGAGCATTTCCCTATGGCCAGGGTGGGAAGGCCAGTCTTGGCATCGGTTTGAACAGTGAGTGAATTTATGAGGTCCAAGGAAATAACAACATCGGCCGTGGAGCCAAGAAGAGGCCTGTAGAAAACAAGAGTCATGCCAGGCACAGTTCTAGAAGGCTTTGTAGGTTGCACTGGTTTTCATCTATGTGTGTGGACACAGTTCAGTCCTAGGGCAATGTCAACATTGTCTGGACAGTGTCAACATGTTACATACACTCTACAAAATTTACATGTTTAAATTGGACTTCTATGGGCCATGCATGTTTATCACATGCAAGATTTTTACTTAGCATGAGACTAATAGTAAAAATTAATTGCTAACATTGTGTAACACAAATCACCTGAGGGCACTAATTTAAAATATTATTCCTGGTATATTCATTATAATGGTGATAGGAGATAAAGCACACTCCCATTTTTTGAGCATGAAATCCTAGTCATAGAGATGTTAAGTAATCACAAGGATATCACAGCTCACGGCTTCACAAATCTATCAAGTACAAACACTGCTTCCCCCAATGTTGGTGATGGAGGCCAGAGACTCACACATACTGGACAAGTGCTCTCCATGAAGGATTCCCCCAATCTCTAGAGATTCTTTTGCAAAGGTTCTTGACTCGACCGTTCCCCCATGTCTCTTGTTTTAAACTGAAAAGCTTTAAAATTGTGTTTTACTTATCCAGGAAGCCTGCCCACATCTCTGAATTCTAATTACTATTAGAAACTCAATCTCAAAAATTTAATTTGTCATGTTCAACCATTGAGGCAGATTCATGATGTTGACCTCTGAACTCCACAAACTCATGTGAGTGTACACATAAAACTTTATACACACAAGTGCACATGACTGCAACACACACACACACACACACACACACACACACACACACACACACACACACACAGGCATATTGTATACAGCATTCATTTCAAAGAGACTTAACATGGCATGTTTTCTCTGGATTTTAGGCTCAGAAGGTCCCATCTTTTACAGATTAGTAAATTTGGGCAAGAGGTCAAAAACCAGCTGGGAATTAAATGCCTACTCAAATCGGCCATATTGAACTCCACTCCCTAAATCAAAGTGGCACATACTCACAGAGACAGAGAGGCATCTATAACCAGAGGAAACTTCAGATCGATGCCTTTGCCATCAGAAGACAAGCTAGCTTGCAAGTCCAGGATTTTCAATTTGTTGATATGCAACCTGCCCAAAATCCATAAATGCCCTCTTGTTATTCATGCTTGTAGCATTTGCACCTCAGCTCATCACCCTCTTGTTCTCACCACATCCTCTTCTGAAATGTGAACCTCTACATTCCCCAGTGCAGTGGACGGAGCAAGGGGAACAGTGGGCAGCAGAGACAGAACTCAAAACTTCATGAAGCCAATGCTTAGGACTAAGGGGTGTGGATTCCAGCTTCTTGTCCCTTAAAGGAACTTGGACTTTTACTCCCAGTTATATTAGAACATTTTCATTCTTAGAGAAGGGCTTTAGGTACCAAGGTTCAAGTGAATATGAGTCATCTTCAGCCTGAAATTACAGACTGTGGGAAAGCAGATGTGTGAACTATCCAAACAGACATGGTAGCCCTGTGTCAGACTTACTCAAGCTCTAATGAGCCTTGCTTCAGAATTCCTCGGCTCTGAGGCAGAAGACAAGGCTTATCCAATTTGTCTTTGACACTGGGTAATCAGGCAGTTCATTTTCTGGCAGCAAAGATGCATCAACTCACCCTAATCCACTCTGAGATGAAAGGAGGTTTAAGTTGCTAAGGTCCAGTGTGTTCAAAATTCCTAGAATATTGTTCTTGGCTAATGGCAAATCCGTGATTTCCTGAAGCGAGCTCACATCCAGGTTTGGTTTCGGAAGGACATCTGTCAAAAGAAGTCATCAATCAGTGCCTTCACCACTAGGAAATGAGCTTCCATACTCCTGGTCTCAGAGAAGTCAGTTTCCCTGCACTGTTTCATTCAGTCTCTGCAACAACTCAGTGAGGATGGGATTGCCACCATCTGCATTGCACAGAAGAGGAACCTGAGACTGCTAAGGTTAGGGAATGTGTCCACACAGCTGGGGCCATGCACCATTTCCAGGGTGACCTTGCACTAATATATATTGACCATTTACCAACTGAAGAATTGACCAATTGGCCAAGCAATTGAAGTTGATTGTGTATACCTGTTTTCAGTGGTGACTTAATGGGATTCTCATGTATTGAGAAACTTAGTCAAGCAATTGAGAGAATAAACTAAGAAATGGAATAACCTGAAACCAAGAAAAAGAGATGGAGGAAAAATACTGCTCCAACCAGAGAAAGTAGCAATGGGGGTCCCAAAATGACAACTTGAAATCAGTCCCAGAGAAAATGACTTGACACTGGAAGAAGAGGATGGAGTGTCTTACCAGAAGATCTCAGACAACAACGGAGGAATTAATAGAATAAATGCCACCTGTCAGGAGGCATGTGTGAAGTGTTAGGGATGTTTGCATACAAAATATCTCTACTATGAAACAAAGCAATTACTAACTCAGGGGTAAACAAAATGAAACAAAACAACAATACCTTATTTTCAAAAGGACACATGGCTTAAGATGCTGCCTTAAAATACTTATTGTAACACGATTTTGCTTGCTAATTCCTCCACATTTTATAACCCGTTTCATTTCTTTGGCTGTAAACCAGTTTATATTAGAATCATGATGTCCCAAATATTTTGTCCCATTTGTACAGTGATGTTTTAGCTCCTCGTCCAGCTTTATCTACTGAAATCATACAACTGTGAAAACAAGACTTTGTTTCTGTAGATTGCTTTCCTGTTCTGTATTGTCTTTAAGTGATGTCGAAAGGTTTGTTCCTTTAAGTCTCTTTGGTGTGTGTGTGTGTGTGTGTGTGTGTGTGTGTGTGTGTGTGTGTGTGTGTGTGTGCGTGTGCGTGTGTGTGTGCGTGTACTTGAATTGTTTTGTTTAAGAAAAGCATTCATTTTTGGTTGTGAGCCTCACCTTTAATGGCTGAGCTATCCCTCCATGTGGACAAAGGAGAACAATCCTCCATTGCTGGTAGGAATGCAAACTTGTACAGCTACTTTGGAAATCAGTATGGCAGTCTCTCAGGAAAATGGGAATCAGTCTACCTCAAGATCCAGCAATTCCACTCTTAGTTATATACCCAAGGGATGCACTCATACCACAAGGACATCTGTTCAACCATGTTCATAGCAGAATTATTTGTTAATAGCCAGAACCTGGGAGCAGCCTAGATACCCCTCAACTGAAGAATGGATAGACAAAATGTGGTACATTTACACAATGGAGTACTACTCAGCAGAAACAAACAATGAAGTCTTGAAATTAGCAGGGAAATGAATAGAACTAGAAGAAACCATCCTGAGTGAGGTAACACAGACACAGAAGGATAAACATAAGTGGATATTAGACATAGAGCAAAAGATAGCCAGCCTACAGTCCACAATGCGAGAGAAGCAAGGAAACAAGGAGGAATCTAAGAGAGGCATACATGAACCCCAGAGAAAGGGAAAGGGACAAGATCTTCTGAGTAAATTGGGAGCACAGGGAGAGGGGAGAGCGAGGTGGGAGAAAGAGGAAGGAGAAGGGAGGAGGGAGACATGAGGGATCAAGAAGGAGAGCAAGAAAAGAGATACTTTAATAGAGGGAGCCAATGTGTACTCAACAAGAAACCTGGCACTAGGGAAATGTCCAGGGAATCCACAAGGTTGACCCCAACTAAGAATCTAAATAATAGTGGAGAAGCTATCTTAAATGCCCTTCCCCTATAATAAGACTGATGACTACTTTAAATGCTACCATAGAGCCTTCATCCAGGAGCTGATGAAAACAGAAACAGAGATTCACAGCTAAGAACTGAGTGGAACTCCTGGAATCCAGTTGTAGAGAGGGAGGAGTGATGAGCAAAGGGGTCAAGACCATGTTGGGGAAACCCAGAGAAACAGCTGACCTGAGCAAGCAAGAGCTCATGGACTCCAGACTGACAGCTGGGGAACCAGCATGGGGAGCCTGGGAAGTCTATGGGGCCTCTGGCAGTGGAACCAGTATTTATCCCTAGTGCACAAATGGGCTTTGGGAGCCCATTCCCTATGGAGGGTTACTCTCTCAGCCTAGATACAAGGGCGAGGGCCTCAGTCCTGCCCCCAAATAATGTGACAGACTTTGATGATCCTCCACAGGAGGCCTCACCCTCCCTGAAGAGTGGGTGGGGGTGGGATGGAGGATATTGGAGGCAATGGGAGGGCAGGAGGGAAATGGAACTGGGATTGGCATATAAAATAAGATTGTTTTTAACTTAAACAAAAATTAATTTTAAAAAAGCACTAATGTATGACTATATACTATCTGTATTCTCAGTGCAGTTGTGATACTGGAGAGATGGCTCAGTGGTTAAGAGTGCTTGATGCTCTTACAAAAGACTAAAGCTCAGTTCCCAGCACCCATGTTTGATGACTGAAAGCCATGTGTTCCTCATGGGGATCTGACACCCTTTTCTGGCATCTGAGCCATACACACAGATATATACATAGAGACACATATGTACAAATCAAAAAAATTAAAAACAGTTTTAACCAAATGAATGTACTCATAATAGTGCAACTTGGCTCTGTGTGTACAGGATCTAACTGTTATAATAATGTGGACAAGGCCCCTTCAGCTAGTATTGCTTAGATAGCTCTGTCTCACCACAAAACTCCCTAAGTAACCTTGAACCTGACACAGTTTTCTCACTGATGTGGTTCCTCAGCTGGGGAATGAGAGGATGGATCCTTTCTTCATCTTTGAAAATTGCCTAAACATTGACAATGATTGAAAGCAACTTGTATAGAGCTTTCTTCCTCCTATAATTACTTTTTGTCAGTTGTCCCAGATATACAGCAGAAAGTGGAGGTGCAATTAAACATGAAGTTGGGTAGTTTAAGGACATCCAAACCAGGTGAGTTGATGCCCTTCATTTCCAGCAAATCATCACAGACCAATAATGGCCAAGATCAAAAAATGCAAATGGCAGTCTATTTTGGAGAGGATATGGAGTAAGGGGAACACTCCTCCATTGCTGGTAGGAGTGCAAACTTGTACAGTCACTTTGAAATCAGTATGGCAGTTTCTCAGAAAATTAGGAATCAATCTACCTCAAGACCCAGCATGACCATTCTTGGGCATATACCCAAAGGATTCCCAATCATACCACTTGTTCAACTATGTTCATAGCAGTAGTATTTGTAATAGCCGGGACCTGGAAACAACCTGGATGCCTCTAACTGGATAAAGAAAATGTGGTATATCTACACAATGGAGTATTACTCAGGTTAAAAAATGACATCATGAAATTTGCAAGCAAAAGTATGGAACTAGAAAAAATCATACTGAGTGAGGTAACCCTGACCCAGAAAGACACACACAGTATTACTCACTCACAAGTAGATATTACATGTAAAGCAATACCCAGGCTGCAATCCTCAGCCTCAGAGAAGCTAGGTAAAAAAGAAGACCCTAAGAGAGATGCATAGATTTCTCTGGGAAGAGTAAATATACGAAATGTCCATGTCCTGGGTAAACTAGGGACAAGGGGGAGTACAAGGGAGGGGATGAGGGATGGCAACAGAAGAGACCAGGATAGTCAAGTTGGGGACAGGACAGAGGAGGAGAGTCTTGATAGAGATATCTTGATAGGGAGCCATTATGGAATTAGGGAGGAACCTGGTGCCAGGGCAATTCCCAAGAACCCACAAGTAAGGCCACAGTTAAGGCTTCTAACAATAGGGTGAGGGTGTCTGAACTGGCCTTCCCATGTAATCAGATTGGTGACTACCCTAATTGAAATCATAGAAACTTCATCCAGTACCTGATGGAAGCAGATGCAGAGATCCACTACCAAGGACCTGGCTGAGCTCCCGGAGTCCAGTTGAAGAGAGATTGAAGGAATTATATGAGCAAAGGGGTCAAACTCATGATGGGAAAACCCACAGAGACAGCTGACCTGAACTTGTGGGAGTTCACAGACTCTGGACAGACCCCATCTGAGGAGGAGTGTATAGGGGGATGGAAGGGTTTGGGATAAGGGGATGGAAGCAGAGGAGGAAGGGGAGACTGGTTTCTACATAAAATAAATTATGAATAAATGAATAAAAACAAAAAGGTCAAGCTACCCATAAGCATATATATGCTAATAATTTTGCCACAACACTTTAGCTAACTTATGTAAACCAGTAGTAAATATACAAAAATGAGAGGATGGTTAGGATTAAAGAAATGCAAAGTGAGATGAGTTACATTTGCTCATCTCTGATGATAGCAAATCAGTTAATGTTGTTCATGTCAGTGCTTAAAAGATAGCAGGTTGGGGGCCAGGCTCCTACAAACTCTAGAGGAAGTGAGATAGCTACTATTATTTAAGATGTGCATACTATTTAAAATTTTGAAATCCAATTTTGATGAATTTATCCTGTGTATATATTGGCAATACTCCATATGTCATGGCACTGGTTATTTCTAAAATGTAAGTAAGTGAGGTAGGAATTGAATGGCTGTGCATTTCTCAGTAGGCCACACATAAAGTACAGCACTGCCCCTTCTCAGCAGCCTCTGCTATTGCAGGCATAGTTTTTATTAGGGTTACTCTTGGGACCAGCAGACAGAGGGGACCTATATTGACTCACCTCCAGCGGCAGAATTCACAACGTTCAAACTGTTCAGGGCATTGCCAATATTACCCAAAAGTGATTCTGAGTTGCCGATGAGCAGGCCACACAAGACAATGAGGCTCCCAAGTTGGAACATCTTTGGACCTAACACCTGGATGGTCAAAGGATGAAGAAGAAGAAACAAAAACCCACAGTGAATGCCTGTCACTCTCACATTTGACATTTCTTTATAACAGATAAGCTTCTGTCCAAGACAGATAAAGAAATAGAACCAGCAAAGATGCCCACTCACAGGAATGGATAAAAAAAGGAAAGCCAAGTACAGAATGGAATTTTATTCTGTCATAACAAAAAAAATGGAATCATGACATTTCAGGTAATGGATGGAGCTGGAGTCCTTTGCTTAGCAAAATTAGCCAGATTCAAAAAGGTAAAATACCCTATTTTCTGCCATGTGCAAATCCGTGTGTGTGTGTGTGTGTCTGTGTCTGTGTCTGTGTGTGTGTGTGTGTGTGTGTGTGTGTCTGTGTGTGTGTCTGTGTGTGTGTGTGTGTGTGTGTGTGTGTGTGTGTGTCTGTGTGTATGTGAATGTGTTGAATGCGTGTGAGATCATAAGTAAGGATATCACGAGAGGAGAAGAAGAAGTCTTACAAGAAGAGAAGAAGCAAACACATATGACATGAAAGCAGAAGGAAGCAAGGGATGGCGATGAGGAAGGACAGCGGAGAAGGAGAAGGATGGGAACTAAGTATATAGAAAACCGCCACAGCAAATCCACTAATTTTATGGTGAATTTAAAAATCATAAACATAAAGAAATACAATTATAACTTAAGAAAATGTGCAAACAAGGTAGGGAAGGCAGAGAAACTTCAGAGGCACAGTCAGTGGGTGGAGCGAAAGGGCTTGGAGAGCCAATAAACTCCAACCTATGCTCTCCATGCTCAGGTCCTTTGTGCTTGCTGCCTTCTCTGCTTGAAACTTATTTCCTCTTCTCTTTGTAACCTAAATCTGTTCTGTGGATTCAGTGAAACTTCGCACCTTCCATGAAGCCAACTCTAGGTCCTTCCCCAGACACTAGATTGAGGCTCCCACTACCTGAATCCACCAAGCTTGGGGCAACACTGTCACTAAGGAGGTAGCTATGGTTTGTGTCACTGTTGAGTCTAGACTCAAGTAAGAAGCATTTCTCCACACACTGAGAAAAGTCATTGATGAATAAAGTCTGAACAGTCAACAGAACCATGTGAACCTAGGTTGTCATTATTCTGACACAATATCTTCTATAGTTTCAAATTTGTTAGAATCCAAACTTCCCTAAGACAAACAGTGGTTCCCTCTGCCTCTTGCCCCAAAGCCTCCTGAAGACCCTTGTGTAGAGGGTCATGTTATGGGAGCTCATACTCACAGGTTGGAGAAGGATGCACAGGAAATGCTTCTATCTCTACACAGTCTCCAGAGATGCTGGGGGTGACAGTGACCCTTATATTGTGATGACAGGATGAGATGCAAGCCCTGTTTCCAGGATGTTCCAAGGAGATTCCAAAGAAAATACCTAAGGTTAGCCAAGTTATTCCTACCCAAAGGTCACCCATGATGCTTGAGTGGCAGTGATGGACTTGGTGCCAAGACTAAGGCCCCAACTTGTTGATCCTGAGACCTCCAATAAGGGGTTGATTCAGTAAGTGCTGGGAAGAAGACCCAGAATGGATCAATGGGATAATATTCTGTTGGAAAAGCTCCTAGTGTTTGTCAAGACTAGCCCAGTCATCATTTGAGAACTCATAGAAGCAAAGCCACCAGCTTCTGGTTCCCAATGAATAGGGTAGAACTGTGACTCTCAAGTTGCTCTGCCCATCTCCTGTGGACTCTTTCTCCAACTGAGTGTTCTTGTCTTCTCTCATGGACAGTCAGCCACTGATGGTTTCTGTTAGAGGACAATGATGAAATCCTCCTGCCATCTCACTGACTGAAGCATCTGTGTTATAAACTAACTGCCTATGTGATTTTGTTTAATCTGCCCCAAGGTGATTATTTCTCAGAGTAGAAAACCTCAGCAACAGTAAATTAAAAAGAGGAAAATAAAGTGAGTTCACAGCCACGGGGGTGTGTTTCTTCTTTAAGGAGACACCGAGGCTGGTTGAGTGATTCACATCCCTCCTACCTTGACACCAGCCATGTTTGTAGTGTCACTGTGCTGTGTGCTCCACTTGTTGCCATTGAGCAGGAGGCAGATGATATGTGAATGTAAAAGCCAGGATGGTGGTCTGCTGAGCGGGGAGGAATCCAGCTCCCATGATTTAAAAGAATAAACCAAATAAGGTAGGGAGAGCTACTATTTGAGGTGAAAACTCACAAACTTTATCTGGCTTTGGGTATTGCTGGATCCAGGTCCTCAAATGACTCCGTGTTCTTAATATTGGATTCATTCTCTGGTGGACTTTGCCAGATAAATGTAACTGAAAAATTTATGGATGGAAACAGACAAGGGATGTGTGGAGACCCACCTCCTATGAGGGTAGAAATGTGGCTTATTCCCATCACTGAGGAGCTAAAGCAATGCTATAATAGAGACTCCATCTCAGTGTATGTTTTATTCATGCTAGTCCATGTCTCTTCTTGAGTCAATGAGATGGGTTCATGGGAGAGGTGCTTGCTCTACAGGCCTAATGACTCATGTTTGCTCACCAGAGCCCACAGAATGGTGGAAGGAGACAACAACTCCTGATAGTTATACTTTGACCTCAACAGGTACATGGTCACACATGTACCTTCACTCACACAGGGACATCATCCACACACAAACACAAAATAATAAAAATAAAGATAAAAGACTGATGTTTCTTGGGTCATGTCCCCCACGATGTCAGGGACAGAAACATTTGAACAATAGGACTCACAGGTGACCTCCATCTTACAGTTGGTGAGCTCACCCCACTCCGAATTTTAGAACCTCCCCATCTCTACCTCCAAACCCTGTGGCTCATGTGCACAGAACTTTACAGTGTGGACTACAGAAGTACAAGCTTCTATAAGCAGACATATGCATATATACATATAACTGGTAATGACCTCTGTCCTTTAGTTGACACCAAGAGATATCCTGCTTCATCTAGTTCTACCTCCCAGTGACCTTGAAGAAGGTCCAGACAAGAAGGGGCTTTGCTGAGATGAGAAGGCAGGGTCTGTGCCCCAATACAACACAGGAGCAGCTGTTCCAACACGCAGTCTGCTGGGGCCAGCAGTGAGGAGTATGCATCCACTCTGAAGGTAAATGCAGTTATTTGCCTGCTGTCATCAGAAGGCAGGTTTGAGGGCCTCATTTTCCACTGGAAGAAACAGGTTTCTGAGAGGCCCACAGGTATCAAGGTCACACAGGGTAGAAATCCGGTGCCTGGCTCCCTCCACCTATATCAGGATGCAGCCAGTTGGCAGAGCAAGACTGTCCCTAGGCTTGTAAACCCTGGTTTCCACAGGATGCATTGTTGGAATTGGTCACCAAACCCTGAGCCCATGTCAAGCCAGAATAGCAAAGCAACCAGTGGGAACTGGGCTTTGAGCTAGGAGACAGCATAGAACCAGGCCATTACAGCTTAGTAAGCCTGGAGGGCATGTCCTCAACATGAGGTGACCATAGCAAAGGATATTATGACCTTATCATTCTGATAGCTTAGGAAGCCATAGCTTAAGATAGCTGTGGCCATGCCATGGCTTGCTTTCATATGCAAATCTTCCTGGATGCCTGCCACCATATTTCAAAAACTCATGAAAACCTTATTCCCATCTATGGACAAAGAGTCAAGGGCCATCCTGAAATCTTGTTAAGATTCACCAGCTTTGTATTGGCATAGAAACAGACACTTGGATCAATGCAATCTAATTGAAGACCCTGACATTAATCCACACACCTATGAACACCTGATTTTTTTACAAAGAAGCCAAAATTATACAATACAAAAAAGAAAGTATCTTCAACAAATGGTGCTGGTATAACTGGATGTTAACAAGTAGAAGAAAGAAAATAGATCCATATCTATCACCATGTGCAAAACTCAAGCCCAAATGGATCAAAGGCCTCAACATAAATCCAGTTACACTGAACCTAATAAAAGAGAAAGTGGGAAGTAGCCTTGAGTGCTTTGGCATGGGAGACCAATTCCTAAATATAGTACAGACACTGAAAGCAACAATTAATAAGTGGGACCTCCTGAAACTGAATAGCTTCTGTAAGACAAAGGACACAGTCAATAAGACAAAACTTCAGCCTAAATAATGGGAACATATTTTAACCAACGCCACATCTGACAGAGGGCTGATTTCCAAAATATATAAAGAACTCAAGAAACTAGATATCAAAATACCAAATAATCCAATTTTAAAATGAGGTACAGATCTAAACAGAGAATTCTCAACAGAAGGATCTCAAATGGTCAAAAGATATTTAAGGAATTTCTCAACATCATTTCTTAGCCATCATGAAAATGCAAATCAAAACAACACTGAGAAACCATCTTCACCTATCATAATGGCTAAGATCAAAAACACGGATGACAGCCTATGTTGGAGAGGATGTGGATCGAGGGGAACACTTCTCCATTGCTAGTGTGAGTGCAAACTTGAACAGCCACATTGGAAATCAGTATGGAAGTTTCTCAGAAAATTGGGAATCAACCTACTCAAGACACAGCAATACCACTATTGGGCATATACCCAAAAGATGCTCAATCATTCCACAAGGACATCTGCTCATCTATGTTCATAGCAGCATTATTTGTAATATCCAGAACCTGGAAACAACCTAGATGCCCTTCAACTGAAGAATGGATAAAGAAAATGTGGTACATTTACACAATGGAGTATTACTCAAAAAAAATGACATCAAGAAATTTGTAGACAAATAGATAAAACCAGAAAAAATAATCACCCTAGTGAGGTAACCCAGACCCTGGAAGACAGACACAGTATGTACTCACTCATAAATGGATATTAGACTCAAAGCAAAGGATACCCAGCCTACAGTCCACAACCCAGAGTAGCTAGGTAAAAAGGGGGACCCTAATAGGGACATGTATGGAGGGCCCCAGGAAGGGAAAATAGTTAAGAGCTCCTGGGTAAACTGGGAGGGGGATAAAAGGTA